TTTCTCTTCAGGAAAAAGCTGACAAAGTATTAACTGTCAGTCTTTTGTTCACTGAGGAATGCATGCAGAAGCTTCATGAATGTCATTGCTGTCCATATACCTTCTTTTTAGAAAAAAAGGTCTTGATTAATGTTTTAACATGAAAAACAGGATGAAGTTGAACGTTGCATGTATAGACAACATCTACAACAGGGTGCCTTCCCCACCTTCCTGAATTTCTGTACTCTGGCCAGGTGCTCCTCGTGTGGATGCAGCTGTGCTTTCCACTAGCTCTGCAAAACCACCTCCTCGGAGCCCTGCAGTTGTCCAGCTATGCTGTGGGTTTTGGTTGGCACAACTACGTCAGAGATGTCACCCCAGGCCACCAGAACGATTCCAGTAGAAATCTCTAGCATATCATTAAACACGATCAGGTTCCTTTTAACAAGAGTATCCAACAATAGGTTTATTTCTGCTACTTTTCTGTTGGTGGGGGGGGGAGGGGTGGTTTGGGTTTTTGGGTGGGTTTTTTTTGTTGTTGTTGTTTTTAAGTTTTGCCCAAGTTAACTAACCTGCTTTATGTTCTTAATTGTAACTTTACTTTGACCACACGAATGACTTCAGTGTCACAACAACTAAAGCAAAGCCCTCTTTTGGCTTTGTGAGGAAGACAAATAATGTCTTGAGGATTACAGTTTTGCCTCAGAAAGATACCAGACTGTGAGCAAACTGAGCTGGATATGTCCTTCAAAAAAGAAAGTCTAAATGTGAGCTTAACTGGGAGCTCTTACTTGCACTGATAGATAACATGATAACGTAAAAGTCTCTCTCCTCTGTAGATTTAAAAAAAGTTAATATAGCTTTTTAAAATAGTAAGATTTCCCCTCTGAAAAGCAGTAATCAGTGATGCTGCTGGAGGTATATGTCAGTGCATCTGGCTCTTTTTAATGACCTGGAAGAGCAAGTAACCCGGCTTTCTGTGAAAGGTATGGATGAGTATGAGAAATCAGCCCAAAGGCCTGGGTCAAATGGGCTCATTGCCTAAAAAGAGAATGGAGGGGTATATGTCCCTCCTAAGAGGGAGATGTAAAGACAGGCAGACAGTGCCTCTCCAGACAGAGGAGGTAGTTTCCCCCTTGACTGGAGGGTAGAAGAATCCAAGGAGGGTAGATCTTACTGTTAATGGAGCAAAGTTAGACAGAAAAGATGAATCTGGATACTGACAAACCGAGAGCTTTGTAATACTGGAATTACACAGAGACTGAAGTTGCAACTCTGTGAGCTGATATAACAGTGCTCTGTAATTAAAAAGGGCAGTTCCTGCTCCCATACTCTGAGCCATGTGCTTCTGGCGTTCAGCGTGTGGCAGCACCCACACTCATGAGATCCCCCTGTGAGCTGCTTTAACTCATTGATCTAACAGGAAACTGAGCCAGCAAAAAAGCTGCAGAGTTTTGTCAGTTTGGCACACTAAACTGGCTCACAGAAGAGTCTAGAACCGAGTACAGCAACAGAGGGGGACGGGTTATGCCACTGGAAGAGATGAGGGGAGGGAAGGCATTTTTTTTAGGAGCAGTTAGGTGTTAGGTTGCAGTTCCACAGGCAACTGCCCGATTTCAGATTGGGATTTGTCTCATGAAGTGAGGATGTCTGCAATGTAGATCTAGTTTGTAGAGTCCGGAGTGTGATTTACCTCTTAAAGTGGATGCGTAAGAATGACCACATAAATCATGCCCTAAAAATGTCCATTTCTCTTCACCGACTAGAAAGGAAAATTTATTGACTGGCAGGAATTAAGACCAGCCTACATTACGGGGGAAAAAAATACCAGTTGTGATGAGAAAACTGGATGTGTTTTGATGAATTTTTCAGTGTTTGATTATCCATTACAAGTAGTAACTCCAGGTTGCTGGCAAGAGATTCTTGCTCTCTAGAGTTGGATGCTGAAAGCCAAACTCACCGTAGGGTTCAGTCGTTGCCCAGCACGTGGCTAGTTTGAGTACTTGGAGAAGAGGCAAGATGCTCTAAGTCCTGCTGAGCGGGTCTCCCAGATCCCTACTGTAAACAAAATCTGCCTCTGAGCCAGGAAAAATGGATCCATCAACACAGCGCAGTTAAACTGAATTCTTATGTTGCTATTTCTCAAGTAGGACTTCATTTTTTGAGGCTGTTATGATGATTAAGCTTGGCTTCTAAGCTGATGGGACAGGTTTGGGGTGTGGCTTTTTGGTTGGGTTCTTTTTAAAATAAATTTTTGTGCTGGGGAGAGTCTTCAAAGCCACTCTTGGTAACTTCCCGGAAGAGTTACTTAGACTACTTTGCCAGTGAAGTTAGAAGCAGTAACGGTCCCAAGGCCTTCCTCGCTCCGTTCACCTTAGCATTTAGCAGTCCTGCAGTGTATTCTTTATAAATGGTATCCAGTACTAAGATTCCAATCACGTGGTCGGAGGAAGTCGCAGCTTTCAGAATGAGCCGTGCTTTTTCCAGAAGCCAGGTGCGATGTGCATAAGGAAATCACGCGTGCTTTCCTCTTCTGTTAACAGGTGCCAAACAGAAGGAGAATGAAAGTGAATGACTGCTGTGAATGTACACACGTTTGTAGGAGAACTTGAACAAAATTTCTGGGTCAAGTTTGTCTCGCGAACAGTGACTGCAATAGAACAGAGCAGGATGGTTGAGAATGTGTATTGGGACTTAGTGATGGATGATGAGTCTATTCCCCCCAGTGATGTCGCAAAAAAAGCAGCATGACAAAAGCTTATGTTAAAATGTAGGCTTGTATTTCAAAATGTCTTCAAAACATTTGCTGGAAGACTTCACATGATGTCCTTCATTAAAATGCACTGTATTCTGAAACTTTTTCATTTTGTATTTGACAGAAGTCACTGGTCAGCAACGGATATATGTGACATAAGGCAAGTGTATGGCATATTCATATCATAGTGCCTTATGTCAAAATACAGCAATATGTCATCACTGTTGCCCATCACTGTCAAAGGAAGTATTGTGCTAAATGAGACACTGTATTTGAATGTGAAAGTCTTTAAACCTAAAACCAAATCAGTTTCAGTTCTCATTAGATTTGTCATAAAAGCTGTAATTTGAGTATCGGTAGACTTCTTTAAAACTTCAATGACAGTTTTGTGTTAAATGTCGCATTCTGAACTGAGATGTAAAACAAGACTGATTTTAAAAACAGCTTTATTTATTTTTACTTTCATGACAATTTTTTACACATCTTTGGTGGATAGCTAAAATTTCACCATATCCATTAATAAACTGTTGATTGTTATACAAACAAGTGGTAGATTTTCTCATTATTTAAAACTTTGGAGTCGCAGAAGCTGTGGCCTGTTGATCAGTCTGCCTTACTTGAGCTGACGATTTCGGAGGCGTGGATCGAAAGTGCTCTGTACTGTAATACGCAGGCACCATGGAGGAAATGAGGTGCCAGAGAACAATATTTTCATCTGTATTAAAGTGTAAAACAATGTTTGTACAACAAAACTGAAACTTTTTATTGTATATGATTTGTACAGAAGTGGAGGAGTGAGGGAAGCCGTGGGGTATTTGCTAATGTAAATGTACTGTAAAGTATGAAGATGAGACTTTTATAATTGTAGATTCTTGTAGATGGAAGAAATTAAACCCTACAACATCAGCTTGTTTTTAGCAGTTCTTGCCAAGTTCTTCTGCATGTATAAATGTACGTGCATTTTGATTAGCGTAAACTAGGTACAGAAGCATTCTTATTTTCCTTCGACTTTAAAGGCGGCTTATGCTAATGGAATAATGCAGGCAGTGCTTCTTACTGTGTTTCCAGCCTGAATGCTGCACTGGAATAACGGCAGTAAACCGATCTGTTGTTTTTCCATTTATAAACATTGAGGTAAGAGGTTAACAGTTTTCAGTTTTCTTATAAAATATGAGGTTTTTAATAGCAATGAGAAACCCTTTCTTCAGAACTTTTCTGTAAGAATTTAAATTTTAAACTGTATGTGTGAAAATTTTCTTCTTACTGGTGTCTTTCATGTATAAAAGTGTTCCTGTAGTACATAATGGAAACTGTTCTCTTAGACTTTCTCTCACTTTCTTACTCTCTGAAAAACATTGTCGAGTCTTCTCCAGCACCTTTTCTGACTAGGTAAATATCGACTCCGTTCCCTGCAATTCTGCATGGTACTGAATTGAAATAGCAGTTTGGGCCTAACAGCAGTGGCCTTAGGTCCGGTGCTGATTGCTGCCATCAGAGACGACATCAGCACAGCTCTGATGATCTCTGTGGGGGAGATGGAGTGATAGCAACTAAAAATAGTGGCACCCATTCTTTGTGGGGTGTGCGGAGGGGATAATTTCTGGTAGCTGAGGACTGTGTATTAAGGACAAGTGGTCAGCAGTGCTACCTGCAGCTGCCACCAAAGCTGCACATGTGCAACTTTGTGAAAGCCCAGATACTGCTCCAGCACCTGTGCCCTAGCCTCCTCTAGGAGGTGGGATGTCAGGGAGTTGCCGAAATGCATCGCTAGATCTCTCCCTACCTATCGCTAGGCTGCATGAGCATGTTCTTCAGCCCTGTATTCAAGGTGCTTTTGAAGATAAGGGCTGAACCACTGATAGGTACTTCTTTTATATATACTTTATTTTTTAGTACAAAGTCTTTTGGGCCTGTTGCATGCAGACAGCTTTGGGCCTGTCTGCATAAACTAGCATGCAGAAAGCCAGAATGAATTCGCAGTTTTCAACCAACCATGTACAGACTTCCTATTTTAACATTATTACAAGCGCTGTTCACGTGTTGTGGACACAGGACTAGCAAAATTATGGAAAGCAGCCTCCTCAGTGAAACACAACTGTATTTAGAGAATTTCCACCCTTACTTTCTGGAATTGTTCTGAACTTTGAATTTGTGAGGAGTAGAATCACAGTGTAACTCCACAAGCATGAATAAACAGCAGTGCTATCTAAAAGGCACTCTGCTTGTACTGGCACAAGTACCAGTGCTGATGCAGTAAACAAAGCTAAAGAAATCATGTCATTTTTAATACGGATCGGTTTACTACAGAGCTAGAAAAAATGCTTGTTCCAGCATAGGGGAGGGACAGGAGTAAGTACATGAGGGTAGAGAAAGGAGGAGTGACTCAGCAGCAGTGCCACAGGTACCACATTAAAGTGACGGTGCAGCTCAAGCTTTGACCTAAGGACTCGTCACCTGGCTTGTGAGAGGCCTCAGCCATGGAAAAGAATAAACAAAACGTCATTAAACTCAAGTTCTTGCACACTTACGATTCTATGACTTTTTTCCTCTGGACAGGCAGCAAGCAGTACCTATAGATCCGAGACCACGGCAAGGGCTCCAGGCGCTCCCTTCCTTTCCACAGACAGGGCCATGCTGCAAATGGCGATGGCAGTAAGCTTCCCCGGTGACCCTGCTGAAAGCCTGTTGGGTAGCGTAGATGATCTTCCGTCCTGAGTATGCGAGACGCTGTAGAACGGATTCTGTTTTAACCGGTGGGACTGTAAAACACGCGATTGATTTCTGTGCTTCCCTGGGTGTTTCCTTGCCCAGCAAGAGATGTCTGTGAAAGGGAAGTATTCTAAAATGCTTCTCAGTCTTGGAAGGGAGCAGATTAAGTCTGGTTTTTACCTACTCTGGATATTTTTAGCTGTTTAGGTGTAAGAAAATGTTTCTCAGTAGACTTCAGCCCTCCATATTTTTCAGTAGCTAGAGATGCTGTGAACTAACCAAGGAAAACTATCCTTTGCTGACACTGATCACTTGCCTGATGCAAACATTTTTCTGTTTTACTTCTGGAATTCTTTTGGTTAAAAGGTCCGAGATCTTTAAGCGCCCCTAGACAGTATTTGCTGTGTACTTCATCTTCTTTTACTAAGGAATATTATTCTGCTGGGAACGTTTGGGTAACCCAGAAAGAACCAGCCTCGCTTTCCAAGGCCTGAGCTCTTGTCCTCACAGCAGACGAGGAATCTGACTGAAGCAGTTCCAAGACTACGCATTGCTTTGAGAACGCTCCTCGCCACCTTTTGAGAGAGCGTAGGGTAAGTTGGAGTCTTTCAGTTATTGTCCAACTAGAAGTGAAACCACACGTGCTTAATCCTGTCACGCAGCAGGCTGTTCAACTGTTTGCACTGAGCTCTCCCGTCAGTTTTGGAAGTAACCAGTTTACTTCAAATGTTTCTGTGAACTTTCACCCCTTATGCTCCCATATTGAACACTTATTAGGGGTAATTTCCAGAGGAAAATGTCGTTCTGAATAATTTAATACTACCCTTGTACCCACATAATGCATTTATGCAAAAAGAATGTTCTGCAGACGCTGCTCTTTACTCCTCAGGTCTTAATTTAAATGCAGTTTTGAAAGTCACTCCCGTAGTCCCCATTTGTTCTACAGTGGTTGCAGTCAGACCTGTTCCCACTGAAGTGAATGGGAACAGGAGGTGACCTGGACTCACACATCAAACTCACTCCTTTAGGAAAAAAGTATAGAGCATGTCCCTGCCAGCCGCATACCAGGACCTGTATGGCATTAGCCTGTGATGTCATAGCCCCTGTGAACTGAATTAGTTTCTTAATTTGCTTCTACTAACGTTTTGCCAGTATTTCTATCTGAATATTGGAAAATACGATCATTGTGAAAATACACTTGTTCTGGCTCCCTCCTGTAAGATTGAACTTTGCAACCTCTGTGGGCAGCAAAGCCTATGCTGTACATGTGGAAGCACGCGCGCTGCCAACACTGCACACGCTTCGGGAAGCTCCTCGGGAGGGTCCCGATTTGCCGAAGGACAGAGCAGGTAATTGCATCAGTAATTGCTGTTACAGGATTGAATGTACAAGTCAGAGCTGTTCTGCATTTGGAATTTGAGTGGCAGCGTGTTTGTGGGTTTGTAATGTACTGTATTATCATAAAAACACTCGGCCGTTGAGTTACGTTCAGTACATGAAACTCATCACGGTTTTTCCTTCATCACAGAAAAGCAGATACAGGCAACAAAAGACAGACGTTCCGTTTTTGCAGCCTCCCTCAACACCCATCCCTGGTCTCACCGCATACACATACTCTTGGTGCTCGCAGTTCCCCCTTTTGGTGTTTTCTCTTTCAGAATCTAGGCTGTACCTCATGTGTTGCATTCATTGACCACACCTGTTGTTAACTCATTTACAATGAAATTACTGTCACTTATCATCTAAACTGATAAGAAGGCTACATTTGATTTGAAGGAGTATCTGGTGAAGCGATACAAAGCAGGCCGGGAATACAGCCCGTGCGTAGGTGTGTGGTGTACATCACTTGTCCCAAAGTTCTCTGACCTCCTCTGTAGTTCACAGCACAACTTGCAAACACCGTAGAAATGAAGAAGCTGGAGTAGGACCAGGGAATGCACGGGCAAAGCCCTGATCCCTAACCCTACCGCTGCTGCGGAACGCTGCACTGTGAAATCACGACCCTGAAAGCTCTGTACTGGCCTGTATTTCGAGCATCCCAGTCAGGATAGAGCGAAACGCTTGCGTGATCCTGATGGAATAAGGATTATTAGCCAATTCCTTCCAAAGAACCAGCAGAAGGAAAGAAAGTCATAGGTTTTTCTGCAAGTTTAAAAAATGCCTGTGCCCAGGAAGGACAAGTTCTGTGTTCCTGCTGCAATGCAGGTTGAGCAAGCATGGAGGGTATCCTAAGGTGGGATGATTACCACAATTAGAGGCAGTAAATAAAGCAGCTGAAGGGGGGAGCAGAAACCCTGCAGTAGTGAGCTCTCCTAAAGAAATAGAGAGTTTGAACAAGTGCAAGTTAACAGAAACAAGATAAATAAATAGGCAAGGGTGCAAAAGGTGAGTGGGATAAGAAAAAGAGAGTAAGGGAAAAGACCTAATCAAGAAAAGTTGGGTGTCAAGGAGGGAGCAAAACCAGAAACTCAGAAATAAAAAAATATTGGTGCTTACCACTCCCTGCTCTGAGCTTGTGGAAAGATCTGAACGTATTTTCTGAAAACGTAGATGAGGTTTCAGCAGAGTGCAAAGCACAGTGCCTGAATAAAACACGCCAAGTAGTAAGAACTGTAAAGATATGGAAGTTGAAAGCATAACTACCACAAACTTCACCTGTTTCCAAAGCCATTTATGTAATTGGAAGGTAGCTCTTATCTCAGTTCTTTCAGTCCTCTGGCTCAGTGAATAGCCCAAATGCTGGATCATGCCACGGTTCCAGAGGGAGCAGGTGCAAAGATGACAGCACAGCTGCAGAGCTACTCAAGGGATGGTCCTGCAGAAGTACTGCTACTGTGTTTTAGAACGCCAGACTCATGTCTTGTTTAAGAAGACTTGCATCTTTTAAAACATGCAAGGCAAAAAGGAATACGGCAGGACTGTCCCGCTACACCTCACAGAGAGCTGCGAGCAAGACCACTCTGGTAACGAAAGGAGGATTTCTAAATGCTCCTCTTTCCTCAGTCCCACCAAATCCATCCACGTGGCAGGATCGCACCGATCCCTACGGAGCGGTGCTCCAGAGCTGTGACAAAGTGGGAATCTGCACCATAGTGAGTGGAAAAGAGAGAGGCTGGACATGGAGAAAGAGCATGCAGAATGGCATCAACCGCAGCCATCACTGACAAAGTACATAAACCCCCCATTTTCTCATGAAATAACTACCTTTTCATCACATACCTATTCAGTAAGGCCGTCATACCTGCTGTTCCAGAGTTATCAGTACTTAGCCTTCAAGGTCCTATAATCCAGAGGATGAAGGGTACAATCAGACTATGCCAAACAACGCAGATACCTCCTTAAAGCTTGTCTGCTTCTTCAGAAGCAAATTGCTTGTGTGTAGAAGTAGCTCTCTTCTGCTCCAGTTGCCTGCCCTCTTACCAGGTTAGATGAATGCTGGTACGCGGGAATGAATGGTTGCCATCAGGGAGAAGAGAACCCATCTCCCCTAACATCAAACTGTTACGTCGGTTTATTTGTGTCAATCAATTGTACCCTAGCATGACTGCATGTAAAGATGTATGAGTGTAGCCCCAAAGAGATGCACATAGAAAACATGATTTTTACTTCTAAATGATGTTCATTTTTTTGATAAAATGTGGAATGGGTAACTATTACCAAAAGCGTTGGCAAAATAAGTCGCAGTAAGTGTGGAAGAAGGCAAGTTTCCTGCTCTTCGTGCCTTTCTCCCTTGAACTCTGCACCCAACAAGTGCTGAAGTCGCCATCAGCACGCGCAGCACCCACTTCTTCCGAAGTCTAAAGCTCACCACCGCACGGACGCCCTCGTCCACCTCACCCTCCCCTCCACGCGCCTCTGCCAGCACTTCACCGGTGTGCGGACCCAGCGCTTCCCCCGAACCACCGCGTTTATCTGCGCGCAAAGGGAACGCTCTGAAGAGGCACCGGGACCGCTTCAAACAAACGTCGCAGCCCGGCGGAGCGAGCCTTTCCGGGAAAGGCGGCCCGGCAGCGGTGTCCTTGGGAGTCTACGGACTGCGAGCGCGGCCCGGGTCCCGCCGGCTTCCCGCCGCCCTGACAGGG